ATATACAGTACATGCATAAATATTCTACCTGCTCATACAAATCTCCTTTTGTAATATAAAATGTTTTCAAACAGAAAATATCCTAGGTTTCTCTAGCTGCCAGTACTAAAAACATGAATTCTAGGCTAATGTTTGCCAAATGTATTTGACCATAAGAATCAACTGTGACAACTGCCGAAAGTACATAAATCAGGTGCTCATCTAGAATTTCTAGGTAAGGAGTTCACAAACTTGTATTTTTAAACACTATCCACAGTGATTCTTATAACCATTAAAGCTTGGAAAATGACACTAGGGTCCCTGTCAATGAATAACTTTGAGAAATTGAAAAAGTGTCTAGAAAAAAATACAAGTAGAATTTCAGAGTTCTCCATTTGCTAAAAAACAAAAACAGAAACAGTATTGGTTCACTCCTCAATACATTAAGCCCTCAGAATGCTTATGTAATGCCAAAACCCACAGAATCCTGAGAAAATTGAAAATGAAGTTAATGTAGAGACAAGCAATATTTAACTTCAAAACTGAGGTTAAGCTTTGAAGAACAAGTCAAAAATTGAGAGTCTTGATTCCAGTACAAACCATATTGTCTTTGTCTTTGATTCCAAATTGGTCTCATTTTTTTTTGTAACTTTGTACTATTACACTATGCAAATACAGAGATTGAGCAAGAGCAAAAAAAAAAAAAAAATCCTGAAATGTGGAATACACCATTCCTTAATTACATCCTATACAACCAGTTGACAGCACGGTGCTCTTGCTTCTTACCTACTCTCTGCTTCAAGCTGACTCCCTTCTCTCCTGCTGTGCTGAAAACACTTCCCCAAAGATTGCGTCAACATCTTTGACTTCCTCGCATCCTGTTCTCCTGAACTTGTACAATATTAAATGTCATTACTCCTTATGGATATTCTTTTGCATTTTGATTTCTAATTTTGCATTTTGATTTCTAGTTTTACGCTAATCCACACCTTTCTTTCTTTTTCTATCTTTTCTCTCTTGGTTCCTGTTTTCCTCTTTCTCTCTTTTATCATGGACCTGTTGTATGGTTTAGTTCTTCATCTAGTCTCTCCATATTCATTCCTTCAGAACATCAATCCATTCTCTTGGTTTCAGTTTTCTGTGTGATAAAAACCAATAATGATGAGCCAGGTGTGGTGGCTCATGCCTGTAATCCCAGTACTCAGGTAGCAGAGGCAGGAGGACTGCCAACAGATCGAGGCAAGTGTGAGCTACATAATTAGTTCAGGGCCAGCCTGAACTACAAAGTGAGACCCTGTCTCAAAAAAAAAAAAAAAAAAAAAAAAAAAACACAAATAAATAAATAAAATGATGTTAGTGGTGATCACAGCTGACATATACTGTGCACTTAGGTTATGGCTTGTGTCTAGATGTTCCTCCAAAGCCTCATAACGTCATAGGTAGGACCTTTTCAGAAGTGGCTGGACCTGTAGAATGTGCGATGCTGGGATTAAGGGTGTGTGGTTACTGAATTAGTCCACTGATTGGTTTGGCATAGTTCCACATAGGATTAAGGGTGCCTCACCATGGGCAGGTAGCCTGGATAAATTATAAGGGGCAGAAAGAAGGGTAATGTGTTCACTGGTTGCTCGTCACTTGTTGTTCTTTGCTGCTTTGTTGCTGTTGCCCTCTCCAATGCCACCCTGCCTTGGAGCAAACTGAGTATGGACCGAAACCTCTGCAAACTATAAGCCAAATAAACCTTTCCTCCTTTAACTTTGAATGTTGGGTATTTTGTCTCAGCAACAAGGAAAGTAACTAAGACAATTCACTCTATGGATTGTAAGCATTCCATGTGACATACCGTTCGATAGAGATAGAATTTCTAACTCCACAATAATTGAGGAATGCAGGTTTTTGTCACAACCCTGAAAAGCCTACATGAACGGTTGCCCATCCTATTTCTATTGGTAATGACTCTTGGAAATTTTCATCATGCCTTCTGGATTACTATGATCTATGAAACAGGAAATAATTGGGAAAATGTTATAATTTGGGGAAGGACTCTAACTTATGAATTATTTATAATGGTTTTATTTTCTGGGTTAGGTTTAAGATGAGACAGACCCATTTTGATTCAACAACCCACTAGGTATCAAGAATTTAAGAACCTCTCCCAATATTCTTGTAATTATCACCTGCAGCTGAATGGATGGGGCCACGCTATTTTGGAGTTTCATTCACCAAAACTGTGAGTAAAGAATGACTTTCCACATTAAAAGATACCAAGCCTTAAGCATTTTTTAACAGAAACAGAAAATAGGACTAAGGCACATGGCTATTTCCCTCATCTCCATCCTTCAAACCCTATCATTTATTAGAGAACATTTTCAGATGCCACCTTGAATATATTGAGCTTCTCCTGATCCCTGGAATGAGACCTTAGCATGTATTCCTCTGAATCTGCAATTGTTGCCATCATCTCCTGCTATAACATTTTCTTTGCACCTTTCTTAAGGGAATTTAACATCTAAGAATAATGGATATTTTAGTCAGTTTTCTGTTTCTGTGACACAATACCTGAGAAATCAGTTAAAGGAGTAAAGGTTCATTTGGGCTCATAATTTCAGAGGTTTCAGTCCATGGCCACTTGCCTCCATCAGTTCTGGGTCTGTGGTAAGAAAGAACATCATGGTAAAGAGCATATGTTGGAGCAAAGCCACACACCTCATGGCCACCGAGGGTGGGAGTAACAGTAGACGGGGCAAAATATACCTTCAAAGGCATATTCCCGTGGACATACTTCCACCAACTGGGCCCTACTGCTGTCAAGTAGGTACCAAGCTTTTAACACAAGTTTCATAATATTTAAACAATCATAATATAACACACACACACACATAACACACTTAATGTTTTTTGGCACTTGTTTTGAGACAGGGTCTCACTTCATAGTTCAGGCTGGCCTTGAACTCACTATAGCCCAGGCTGGCCTTGAACTCACAGCAATCCTCTAGCTTAGCCTCTCGAATACTTGCATTACCAGCGTATGCCACCATGCCCAGCTCTATTAGGCACTTTTAAAGGGGTGATTCTATATTCACTGAGGTATCATCCCATTCTATAGCTGAAGAAACTCAGATATACAGATGTTAAATAACTTGCCTGACATCATCCATCTTATAGAGTGCAAGTCCGATAAAGAAGTTATTCCTAGTCTGCAGACTAAACTGCTACTTTGTGCACATTATTTGATCATCAGGCACTGAGTCTGATCTTTTGTATGCCCCAAACCCAGTGGTTTATACAGATGGTGGATGAAAAAATGAGGAATTCACTTCCTGCAATCTCCATTACATGGTATTCCTGACCCACACAATTTTTTTCCATATTTTTACCAGTGGATCCTTACAAGTCACACACCCAAATAGCCTGTTCCTGCCTCTGTACTGAGGCTTAACCTCTGCCATTAGAACCCTAATACATCAATAGGTATTTATGCTGTGTGTACTCCAATACAGGCACTTCATAGGTGATGGGTGAAACAAACATGGAGAAACTTAGGTTCCTGTTCTAAAAATGAGGACAATCAAGTGATAGCAGCATTAGACATACAGGATATTTGAGGAAATACAGTTCCTTCATAGATGGATTTTTGTAGGAAATTCAACCTGAGTTTACCTTAAAGGGTGAAAAGGGTCAGGGGAAGACTAGAAATAGTACCAAGGAGAGTATTTCAGGCAGCAAAAGCAAGAACAGAACATGAAAGTGTTTCTAATAATTCATTGTAACTGGAACTAAAATGACAGGGGTTGATTGTTGGGAATAGAGGTTTATGCTAGGACCCTTCCCTCCCCACAAGTTATGGGCTGCCTTTGCTAGTTTTACATAGAATACCAATATACAAAAAACAATCAGTGGTTCTCCAAATAATAATACTTATTTGAGAATAGTACAGCATTATAATGGGAACACAAATGCCACAGTAAACTGTGGAGATATTCAAAGTATGTGAGGCAAGAGGAAGTTTTTAAAGACAAAAAATGAGGATGACATCCAATATAAAGAAACAATGATCATTCACCACATTGACTAATAACCAGAGTGGCATCAGCCTGGGTTTTACCAGACACTTCCTGGGTGGATGTCCTTGTGCAAGTACTTTTTGTATAAAGTTACAATGAAATCTGTGAAAGAGTATGGTTCTCTACAAGTATTCTGTGACAGTGATCATCAGGTGATTATTCATGAGAATCCTTCCTTCATAACCTCCTGACTGCATTTACTCTGTTGTTGTTAAAAATAGTCAGAAGCAGCTCCATTCTGATTCTGAAAACTTTCACATTTCATTTAGCAGGATTGGTTAAAATCAGTAATTGCTTTTAGAGAGCTCACACAGTCAGCGTATAGAGGGCTGTTTAGAAAGGGGAGAATTACAAAAATGAGGTAGAGCGCCTCTCTCAAGCTCCACTCTATGCAGAAAGACTACTCGGATTAATCTTCCAGGCCATGCTCCCATCCCACTACCAAACTCCTACCAGCACTTGATTCCTGCAGCCAAAATGTGGCATTTAATTACATTTTGTATTATTCTCTGTTCCCTGCCCGTAACTCATCTTACCCTAGTGAAACAACACAAGAAATGTTCATGGAGTTGAAATATCTTGTAAGGATGCCACAGGCCTGACAGACGGCAGAGGTCAGCTACCAACCTCTCCAGCGGCCCTGGCCGCCACGTCCGGGCCCAACACTGGCTGCTCTCAGCTGTCAGGCTTGGTCTACTGCAGACAAACGTTGGGATAACTGATTAATTCATGTCACTCTCTGCCTCATTAAATCATGGCTTAGTTCTGGGACAAAACAAATTAGGCTTAGTCTGTCTCACCATCGTCGGGAAGCTCCAGTCACAGCTGTTAGAACCCGATTCCACCAGAGGGCGCATCCGACCGGGCTTCGGCCATAGCTTCCGGTACTCAGGAGGGAACAAATGAACGCTCATATAGTTAGACCCTCTGCAGCTGCCGTAGCCCCCACCTCCCACACCCCCACCCCTTGCGAGCGTAAACAAACAGGAAGTGCAATCGGTGTTTTGAGACTTTTGGCGTTTGAAAAGGGTCAGCGACTTCTGAGAGACTGTGTTTGCGGAGTGCTTTCTTCGAGTTCACGTTTGTTTCTCCCTTCTGTTAGAAGTTTGCTCAGAACTATGGCCGAATACTCCTACGTAAAGTCCACCAAACTCGTGCTCAAGGGAACGAAAGCCAAAAGGTGAGACCCGAGGCTCCGCTGGGCGGCTCCTCGGTCCCTTCGGTCGTGCGTCCACGCCTGCGGCCCCGAGGAGCACAGCGGGGCTGCTCTTTTGGCTTCTGGCCCGCTGGCCTGGCCTGGGTACCGGACTTAAGCTGCCGCCCCTCGGTTCGTGACACCCTGCGGAGCCGGCGGAAAGGCTGCAGGGCCCAGTCCGAGCTGCCTCGTCCCGAAGAGGGAGGACAGGAAACCAGGAGGAAACCAGTATCCCGGCAGCTGCGCGTTTGGATCCCTGAGTCTTCCCACCGATCTCTGCGTGACGGCTTTACTTTATTCTTATCACGTAGGCTGTAATGACAACCACTTTTGTTAGGGAAAATCTATTTCACCGTTGTATCTCTTAAAAAAAAAAAAAAACTCTAGTTTTTTTTCCGACGTAACATGGAGGGTGGAACTGGGCCGAATCACGCAGTTAAAAGACACATAACGAGCTTTCCCAAGGATGTGGTCTCATATTGACCCAATTACTAAGTTTGTATCTACTGCAAATTGGTTAAAATGTCTAAGCTCCATGCTTTAAGAGCTCAGATCATTGTTTCTGTGTGCTCCTTGATATGTTAAAGAGTCATTAAGAGTGATAAGTGTGCCAGAAAATAAAGCCAAAGGAAGGAGGACATAGTGGTGATGTATAACTGTGAACACCTTAGGTAAATATACCTGTGCTTTCATATCTTCACTTTTTTTTTTTTTTTTTTATTTTTTGGACGTGGATTTGTCCCCGGGGTACTATTTATGCAGATATTGAGCATTTCTTTCTAGTTTCAATTGTAAACCAAGTTGGGGACACTTTTAGGTGCGATGGAAAGAGTGTGAAAGGTAAGAAGACACACTTTTGAGAACTGCTAGGGGTCTGGAATGAAGAGTTTGTTGAATAAGCCTGAAATGTTTACTCTCTGAATTAACAGGACAAAGAGCAGAGTTAGAGTTTGCTTCTGGCTTTTTTTTTTTTTTTTTTTTTTTTTTTTTAGGGTACCGCTGTGTAGCCCGGGCTGGCCTCAAACTCTTGCCTCCTCCTGCAGCAGCCTCCAGAGTATTGGAATTACAGTCTTGGCGTGCCAGGCCTGACTAGTTTACTCTGCTTCTGAAAACATACTTTCTGATTAAAATGCAGGCAGGTGCATTTTAATAACTATCCATTATAAAGCCTATATACCACTGTGTGTTACGAATTAAGTATTTTGCATATTAACTTTTCCATATCATTTTTTAGATGTATATGCCGCAAAATTCATCATTTGAAGTGTACAATTCAGTGGTTTTTTAAATATACTCATGAGATTCACCACTGTTTAGCTGTGTAGAATTTTCAACACCTCAAAAAGACCCCTTACCTTTTTTCCCTTCTCCCAGTATCTGGCACCCACTCAGCTTTCTATCATACATCGGTCTATGAGGATTTGCTTGTTATGAATACATGTATGAAAATCAGTAGCTTGTAATTCACTGTACAGCTTCAAAGACTCTTCTGTGCTTCCATATTGTGATATTTAACATGAAAATCAATATATTAATATATAACTTTTCTCCCATAGTAAGAAGAAAAAGAAAGAAAAGAAGAGAAAAAGAGAAGAGGATGATGAAACCCAACTTGATATTGTTGGTGAGTCAGACACTGAGAAAAGTTGAATTTTGTTGAGATCCCTTTTGAAATTTTTTTTTTTAGTTAAGAATTTATGACTCATTTATGTTTCTCCTTAAGTATTCAGATATCATTTACAGTTTCCAATTTCTGCTTTTTTTTTAGCACAGTGGATAATATTGGTACCTTTCTTCATTTTCCAAGAAGTGTAAAGGAGAGAGAAAGCGTGACCATTGGATTAGCCAAAGATTCTCATCCATAATTTTAAAGACTACTATAGATAGATTGTACAAATAATTTTCTTTGTACATGCATGCATTTTAATTGTAGAGTCAGGGGACTGTCTTTAAGAGAAGATAATCATAGTAAAAATGATTACTTTAGAAACTGAAACAAATGAAATCTGATTAAACACAGTACAACATCAAGATAATGGTAATAGAAGCAAACTGAACCAAACACGTATAACTAGTTTTCCATTTAGTCGTTGTGTCCTTCCACTCTACCAGTACTTTAAAGCACATTTCTTCTCTTCTAAAACTTCACGTGTTTCATTTTGAAACTTCATAAATTGTGGTTGCTTTAAAATTGTGTAAAAATAGGTAGCGGGACAGAGCAAATGTTATGGGAAATCACATTTTTAAAAATTTTTATTAGTACATATTTGCAGTACATAATGATTACATTCATAGGAATTGGTACATGTTCATAACACATCTTAATTCTTTATACATCCTCTTCCCTGCCCCACCCTACTCCCCTATCTCTTGGTCCCCATCCCCTTTGCAAAAGATCTATGCCTTCTTTCCTTATATCTGCCTTTTATTTTGCTCCTTATTTATATTTCAGACTTTTCATAAAGGAGTAACTATGCAATATTTATGCTTATATGTCTGATTTATTTCACTTGATATGGTCACAAGATAACATCCATTTTCCTACAACGTATTTAAATGTTTTCTTTATAGCAGAGTAGTATTCTATTGTGTATAAATGTCACATTTTCTTTATCCCTTCATCTGTTGATGGTCATAGAGACAACTTCTAAGATTTAGCTATAATGAGCTAGGCTTCTATAAACATGAGTTTGCATGTTTTATTCTAATATGTTGTATTTTACTCTTGGGAGGATACCTAGAAGAGGAATAGCTCGGTCTAATGGAATTTCTGTTTTTACGTTTCCCCAAGGGGCTAAAGAGGTTTGTGGCTAGGCCCCTCGGCTTTGCTTCTCTTAGCTCCTGCTTTTCCTGCAGTGGGCTGGGACAGCTTGCTTCATTGTCCTCCGTGGCTATCAGCTCACCATTCTCCACTCCAACAGGAATCTAGCCAGACTGTCAACACAGTGCCACTTCAGTGCTGCTGTTGCTTTTTTGAAAAAGGGAGTGAACATGCTGGCTTAGGGAAGCTTAGGAAGGGCGGGAACTGGGCCTCTTATTTACATACCTAACCTCAAGCCAAGCTTTCAGCAGAGTTCCTGGTTTCAGCTTACTGCCACAGGCCTACAGCTATATTCAGCCACTTCTTGGGTTTAGTCTAGGGTGCTGCCATCCTATGTACTGACGCCCCTGTGCTACAGCACAGGCCTTATTAAAGGCTCACTCGGTGTTCTGTAAACTGGCTCATGAAGTATTTCTTAGATACTGTTGGCTCCAAAAGTCCTGTAAATCTACTTCAGAATTTTATCGTGAGTAGTATGGACAGAGCAGTTGTTTGAAAAGAAAGAGCAGTAAACACTAAGAGCTGTTAGCACCAAAGCCCGACAGAGACCAGTAGCCGACAGAGACCTGTACCAGGTAGAGTCAGACTACAGTCTCCAGCACAAACTGGCCCTAGAAGGCAGCACGTGGCAGTTGCAGAGACTGTCACCTAGTAGTCAACCCATAGTGTCCAGCACAAGCTGACACTGGAAGGTAGTGGCCAGCATTGGCAGACCAGGACCCTGCATAGTTGAGCTATAAGGACTGGCGCAGGCCAGCATGGAACAGTTATGGCAGGCGGCAGCAGTAACTAGCAGCTGGTTGTGTCAGCTGTTGGCACCCAACATTATCCTGTGTCATGAGGACTGCAGTTGCACTTATGATTGGAAACAAAGGGCTTTATCTCTTCAGCTTTGTCAGCATTTATTCCTTGACTTCTTGATGGTAGCGTGGTGTGAGATGAAAAGTTAGCATGGTTTTAGTTTGCATTTTCTTTTGGCCAGAGATGTTGAACTTTTTTTTTTTGCTGTATTGTCATTTGTACTTTTGAGAAATGTCTAACTTGCTCATCTTTTCATTGGATCTTTTATTGGGAGGGGTCTGATTTTTTGAGTTTTTGTATATTTTACGTATTGATACTCTGCCAAACTGGTCTATTGTAGCTCCATGGAGCTGCTGATCCTCTGTGGGCTTACCTTCTGTCACTGGACATAGGTCCCCCTTCCCAGAAGCTATGGTTAGCTTTCCAGACTGCTTTGTTTCTTTTCTCTGCATCGTACTCCATTTCTCCAGCTTCTCTGTAGTTTCTAGTTTTCCTATGAGCTCCCTCCTGGTTCCCAGAAGTCTATTTTTTTGTTTTGTTTTGTTTTCTAGGTGTCTTGATTTCAGGGGCTGGAGAAGCTTTATTTTGCTGACTATCTTTACTCCACCCTTTTTAATCTCATGTTTTGAAAGAGCACATCAACAATTATAACTTGAGGTGGGCATGGTGACGCACACATGTAATCGCAGCACTCAGGAGGTTGAGGCAGGAGTATCACAGCAAATTTGAGGCCAGCCTGGGCTACCTAGTGAGTTCAAGGCCAGCCTGAACTAGAGAGGGAGTCCCTGCCTCAGAAAAACCAAAGAAAAAGAAGTGTAAGTTGGGGTAAGGTGCTGGGGGTGTAACTCAGTGGCCAAATGTTCTCTCAGCTTGCAAATGTAGAATTGTCAAAGGATGGGTGACTATTTAACTCCCTAAAAAATTGACAAATTTGTCTAAAGTGATTGTGCCATTTTACCCTTTTACAAAAAATAAAAGTTCCAGTTGTCAACCATTTATATAATTAATTATCAGCCTTTTCTTCCTCTTTGTGGTACTTGTCATTTGTTTATAGTACTTATCTGATAAACAAGTTTTTAATTTTTATAAAGTTCAGTTTATATTTTTCTCTTTAAGTTTACTGCCTTGTCTCTATTTTATTTTTTTTATTTATTTATTTATTTTGCCTTATCTCTATTTTAAAAGATCTTTGGTTTACTTAAAGGTCATGAAAATATTCTTCTACATTTTCTTTCGGCGAGGTTATATTTTTAGTTTTTACGTAACATCTGTCATTCACTTCAAATTTATCTTTAGCATAGTACAATACAAATGTCTAGTTGTTCTAGCCACATTGTTGAACAGAGTTCCTTTTCCTCATTAAACTGTTTTGTTATCTTTGTTTAAAAGCACCTGACTTTTTGCATTGGTCTAAGTCTTGATTCCTTCTGTTCCGTTGATATTTTTTCTACTCCATTGATGATGTATTTGTCTTCATTACAAGTTCATAAGATTTTGAGGTCAGGTAGCAAGTTCAACTTTGTATTTCTTCTGTCAAGATTATTCTATGTCTTGTACATTTTCAGGAAAATTTTAGAATCAGTTTTATAGGTTCTACCAAAAGAGTATGTTGGATTTTGGGGTAGGAATTATATTGAATCCAGGTCATCTGTGGCTCTTACTCCAGGAAGTGGTTCTCATGGGACCTGAACTAAATGCACAAAATATATTCTAGTATTAAATCCACTCTAGCATTTCTTATATTTCTTGGATCTCTGATATCTCTAATCAGCTCTTACAAGCAGTGACCACTCTGTTAGACCTTGTAAAATCTGCCCGGTATGTGCTCAGCCCAGCCACTGGCTGTTACAGAGAATCCTCGTGTATACTTTTTGCCCCCCACTGCTCTGGATATAGTTCTTTTTCTCCAGTACCTTGCTCTGTAAGTTCCAGTCACTTCAGCATTCCAACCCTCAGTTCAGCTCAGGTGGATTGCATGGTCTTCTGGGCCTCCATCTCCCTGCCCTATAGACAAAAAAACTGCCATCAAGCAGAAAGCCAGTGATTGTGAGGTTCACCTCACATATTTCCTTTTCCTCAAAAGAGGACAGTGCTGCTCCACTTGTGTTTCAGTGTCTAAAATTAGTTTTCCTCATATATTCTGTCTGCTGACGTAGTTTTTTGTAATGGGGATGCAAGTCTAGTACCAGTTATTCTGTCTTGGCTGAATAGAAAATCCTTCTGGGTCTTTTTCACTTCTCATCTTGTTTCACCTTACAGTTGTCTAACCTTGACAGAAGTAAGCATACACTTGGTTCTGGAAGAAAGGAATGTTTTTTAATGTTTTGAAGCTGTTCTATTGATTCTACACAAGGCCCTGAAGGTAAAGCCTAAGCCAGAGTGGATTGGTAAATAAGATAAAAGAAATTCTACCTTTTACAATGAAAGTATCGAACCTGGACAGTAATGAAAAAGAACATGCCAAGCAAAGAGTTTCAATGAACTTTACTAGGCTTGAAAGCAACTGGATATATAATGGAATAGATCAGTGGTGCCAAACCTACGGTACGCATACTGCAACTGGCTGTTATCATTGAAAGCTCTAAAAGGTTCGCCATCACTGGCATAGTTTGTGAAATTCATAGGTAGCTTGTTTTGCCCAGGATCTAAAGCCAGTGAGTCAGCAGAAGTTGTATGAAGAGTAAACTACATTACCATAGAGGAAGAAAATTCCATTTCCAAAGCTAAGATGCAAAGTCCCATTGTGACATGTACATAATGATAGTAGAGATGGAAGGACTGTTTTATCAGAGTCCCTGGGTATATCAGAAGATGAAGTAGGTGGCTGGGAATTTAGCTCAGTGTTTCTGCCGCCTGCCTCACAAGTGCAAGGACCTGAGTTCGATCCCCGGTACTGCGGGGAAATGAGATAAACTGTCACACAGCCTCTGATCTGTATTGCCCCTCAGAGGGATTAATGGATGTGTAGGCATCCACATGAGGCTGTGAGCAACACTGTAGGAGGTCCATTAATCCATTAACCACAAAGTGAGGCCTGTGAAATGTAGGTTCATCTTCCGTATCTGTGGTAGTCTTAATACCAGAAAGAATGAGAAAGAACCATGATGGTATTTTATCTACCACTGTGACTTTTATACTGAGACATTCTTATGTTTGACATTTGTGTCAGATACTGTAAACAAGGTAGTTCTGGTCCCTACCTTCACAAACTTTATTTTCTAAACAATAAATAAAAAGTTGAAATATGTGAGAAATTTTAAGTGTTGTAAGACTATGCAGCAGCAATATTTAACAGTCTACATAAAGCTTAAAAGGAAGTTGCTTTAAGCATGTCTATATATGTTGTTTTTTAAAGTACCAAGAATAGTGTTGAAATAGATTCTTAGATTCAGCTTCACTGTCTATAGCACATAAACAAAGCTTTAACTATAACTGTAATCATTAAACCAATAAGCATACTTCTGAGCTTTAAATGTGGGCCACTTGAAATCTCAGAGGCATAATAGGCATCTGCTCAAGATAACTTTAGTAGCTCAAAATGTTCTAAGTAATGTATCATTTTCCTACTTTGACATAGGTTTAGTATTTTGAAGAATTTGCCTTCCAGAAATTTCTTCTTAATCTGCAAGTCACTGTTGATAGAATTATTGTATTTAGCATTAAGTGTAGGCTGGGGATGTGGCTCATTGATACAGTGTTTACCTCGGATGCAGGAGGGTCTGGGTTCAATTCCCAGCATTGCAAAAAAACAAATTAAGTGTATTTGGTTAGCCTGACATAGGACAAACAAAATACAAAAAATTTAAAAGCATTAGTATAACATTCTTAATGAAAGATTTGCTAATCACAAGACTGTTGATAATGATTCTGATTGAAACAGTTCTTTTATTGAAACAATTACAAATAACTTACCTGAATCTCTCGCTCAATCATTTTGATTACCTTCTAATAGTCTTTAGCTGAAATTTTATTTCTCTCCAATAGATTTTTTGTGATTGAATAATACCTAAGTTAAAATTTGCCATTTTAACCATTTTTAAGTTTATACTTGATTAGTTCTGAAGTACATTCACATTGTTGTTTACCCATTACCACAATCCATATTCAAAACTTTTTCATCTTGGAAAAGCTAAACTTTGTATCCATAGACATCATACCCCATTTTCTCCAATCCTCAGTCCCTGGTAAATATCAGTCCGTGTTCTCTCTCCATGAATGTGACTGTTCTAAGAAACACATAGAAGTAGAAGCATATAGTATTTCTCTTTTTGTGAGGGCTTTTATTATTTAGTATAATGTCTTCAAGGTTTGCCCATGTTATAGCTTGTGTCAGAATTTCTTATTTTATGCTGAATAATCTTCTATTGTATATATGTAATACACTTTGTTTAATCATCTTTCAAGGGATGCTTGCTTTGCCTCCACCTTTTTGGCTGTTATGAATAATTCTGATCTAAACATGGTATGTAGTTACCTCTTCAAGACCCTGGTTTCAATACTTTGGGTCTATATGGAGAAATGAAAATGCTAAACTGTGTGGTAGTTCTATTTGTGATTTTTTTTTTTTTTTAAAGGCACTTTCATACTTTTTTCCATAGGGAATGCAACATTTTACATCTCCAGCAGAACACAAATTTTACATCTCCACATCTTCACCAAAACTTGTTTTCTTGGTTTTTGATAATACTAACTGATACTCATCTTTTCATGTAAATCCATATTTTTGCCCAGTTTTTTGTGTTATTTTAAGAGTACATTTTCTGGATATTAGTTACTTATTATGTATGTAATTTGCAAATCTCCCATTCTGTGAATTTTCTTTTTCCATGTTAAAATTGGTCTTTCATGCACAAAAGTTAATTTTCTTCAAGTTGAATTTGCTCATTTTGTTTTGTTTTGTTAGTACCAGCGATCAAACTCAACAACTTCTTGCGCTTGTGAGGCAGGCGGTGGCACCACTGAGCTAAATCCCCAGCCCTCTTGAAGTTGAATTTGTCTGTTTCTTGTCTATAATATGTGCTTCCTGTGTCACGTCCAAGAAATCAGTGCAAAACCCAGTGTTATGAAGCTTTTCCTGTTTTCCTTTAAGAACATACTTTTATGTATATATAAAGTATATATAAAAATATACTTTTAAGTGTTTTAAGTAAATTATAGGTACAATTTAATGATATTTTAAATTAGTTATGAAAAGCCTGAACTATTTACCTGAACAGGAAATTTTGTGAGTGTTTGGCTCAATTTTTAAAAACTGTTTAAATGGAAATTTCCAAATTAATACAGATGTTTTTATACCTAACACTATGCTATTATCAGACCTTTAAAATTAACAAGAATTAATATTATCTAATACCCAGTTAAAGATTGGTTCATTTTTACTCTAGCAAAGTGCAATACGGAAGATTTGAGACCTCTTTCTTTCTTTTTTGATAAAATATGAACATCTACAAAGATTCCATAAATAATTGGACTCTAAATTTAACATCTTTCTATAGATACTTAGACATTAGTGTTTACATAGATTCTCATTTTGCCTCTAATCTAAAATCATAGATATATCTAGAGTAATACCTTTCCATAGTTTCAGCTACTTGTAGTCAAATGTGTTCTCAAAATATTAAATGGAAAATTCTAGAAGTAAAAAATGAGTTTTAAAGTGCATGCCATTCTGTGTAGCATTATCAGATCCATCACCCTCCTGCCCAGATATGAATCATTCCTTTGGCCCATGGTTTGACACTGTATAATCTGTCTGCTTGTTAGTCACTTAGTAGCCAACTTGGGTGTCTGTCATGCTTTCACAGTGCTTGTTTGCAGCAACACTTAATTTACTTAATAATGGCCCAAGAACAAAAGAGTAGTGATGTTCACAATTTGGAAATGCCACCAAGAAACCACACTTTCTTAAGTGTGTGAGAAGCTGTATTTGTATAATTTTTATTATATTATTGTAATTATTATTTATTGTTATAGGAGAAAGCCAGCATCTCTGTTATTTCTTACAACTATAATGTAAAAGCCATTTAAAATAAATTGTAATGGCTGAACACATAGTTTGTAATCTTAACTCCTAGGAAGATCACAGTCAGTGGCCATCCTAGCAACATAGTGAGACATTTTCCCAATATGAAAGGGTTGGGGCAATAACTTAGTAGTGAAGCACTTGCCTGCCATGCATGAAGCAAGCTTGCATTCAATTCCCAGCATTGGGGGTTAAAGTTTCAAAAAATAAAATGTTTAATAAATGCTGATTTTTTTTTTTTAAAGGAATGTGGTGGACAGTAGCCAACTTTGGTGACATTTCAGGAACTATCGCCATTGAAATGGATAAAGGAACCTATATCCATGCACTTGACAATGGTCTTTTTACTCTGGGAGCGCCACATAAGGAAGGTTGGTGTTTGCTAGAAAGAATGAAAGGGAAAAGATACTTAAAGTACAGGTTTCATAATGGTCATGCGCTTAGCCCCACTATTATTATGCTCAAACATGTTCTAAAGGAATGGAACTATTGCATTGGACTTTTTTCTTTTTTGTATATTTCCAACTCTTGGCAACTCCCTCTTTCTAGTGTAAGCATTTCAAAACAGTGTCTGGAGGGCCGGGGATTTAGCTCAGTGGTTCCGCCACCTTCCTTGCAAGCACAAAGACCTGAGTTCAATCCCCGGTACCAAAAAAAAAGAAAAGAAAAAGAAAATAGTGTCCGGTGACAGAGACCACCTGTGGAGATAAAAAGCAGTATAAATACTACAATTGCAATAGTAAGAGAAAAGAAAACCAGGTGGAATCAGGAGTTTTCTTCAGACCTTTTGCCAAAACTAGCCTGAGAATGGTTAACAATTGGAAGTTTCCTTATTCTTATTAGCCCACAGGGGAAACACTAATGAATGAAATAAACAGCAAAAAGCAGTATCACTTGATCACAATGGTCATTCCTTGAATAAATGAAAGCATTTGGTGTTTTAAATACTAAGGGCTTATTCTCTATGCCTTGTCGTTAAAACACAAGGAGAAAGTATCTCAGAAGTAACTAAATTGTCATCATCTCAACCTATCTTTTAGCCATGCAGTGATAGAAAGATAGTCTATGGAAGCTATTACTCTATGGATACTATATTATAGTTGTGTCCAAATATCCTAACATTTTTAAATTTATTTAGAAAAAAACTACATTTTTAAAGCAAAGTAATATCTTTACCTGCATATTTATTTTTAAAAATAAAATATTTTCATTTGTTTCCTGTAGTTGATGAAGGTCCTAGTCCTCCAGAGCAGTTTACTGCCGTCAAATTGTCTGATTCCAGGTAAACTTGAGTTTAGCTATAATTAATAATCTTCTTTTTGTTAATTTCATTCATTATAAAATTCTATTCTGCTAAGGCCATATAGTAACTTTGACTTAAGAAATAAATTTTGGGGGATCGGGGATTTAGCTCAGTGGTTCTGCCGCCTGCCTCACAAGCACAAGTTCCTGTGTTTGATCCCCAGTACCTGGTAGCAAAAACAGAAAGAAATTTTTTGAAAATGAATTCTGTGACATTCAAAAATAGAACACTAAGCACAATGTCCTGAATTTGATCCCTGCTACCAAAAAAAAAAAAACCCAAAAAACTACCATTTAAATACCCAGTAAATATGAAAGTATTCTTAAGGTAGAATTATACAAACTTTGTGTTTTGAGAGGAGAATTAAATCTCTAGCATTTTATATATAAAAAAGATATTAATAGGACATTGTATAGTGGCCAAAAAAATTTTTTAATACATCACTAATGGGATATTTACATCTATTGAAAGTAGCATATTTGAAAAGTAATACATTTGGAAAATATTTTCTATAGAATCCATAATATTAGATATTGTGCAATGTAAGATATACAGTATTTGTATTCAAAAACAAAATTCTAAATTATATATAGAGAACTACAGTGTCCACTATGACAGCAAGCAGCCACATGTAGTTTTTAGAGATTTGGAAAATATCTAGTCTGAATTTTTATATTTTATAATTTGTATAAAAATGTCTGGATATGTGTGTTTATTTGTGTGTGTGTGTGTATATATATGCATGCACACTATATTTAGTTCCATATTTAATTTTTTGCTCCTTTTTTAATATGTGTTCATTTTATTAACCCAAAGAATTGCTCTGAAATCTGGCTATGGAAAATATCTTGGTATCAATTCAGATGGACTTGTTGTTGGGCGATCGGATGCCATTGGACCAAGAGAACAATGGGAACCAGTGTTTCAAGATGTAAGTGCTATTATTATTTATAAGTCTTACTGTGAGTATGAGAAAAAAAATTTAGGATTTAGCTCAGTGGTTCTGCCACCTGCCTCACAAGCACAAGGACCCAAGTTCAATCCCTGGTACCAAATAACAAAAAAAAAACTTTTTTAAAAGAAAAGTGCAACAATATACATTTAGTTGAAAAAGATTACTACAAACTTAAAACCTTAAAAATATTCCAAAAAACAGTGCAAGAAAGAAGAGCAGTAGTGTTTGCTCACCATGTTTCTGTACACCCTTGGGGGCAGCCCTTGGACTTTCAGGATTCTTAAATAATAGTCAACTTTTAAGTCTCAGTGTGGGGAAACAGGATAGATATTTCAGGAGTATCTTCTTTGTGTTTGTTTGTTTGTTTGATTGGTTTTTTGAGACAGGGTCTCACTATGTAGTTGAGTCTGACTTGGAACTCACTATGTAGTCCAGGCTGGTCTCGAACTCACAGCAGTCCTCCTGCCTCAGCCTCATGAGTGCTGGGATTACAGGTGTGCCATCATGCTTGGCAGGAATATCTAATTACTAGCAGAAAACATGAATGTTTTCAAAGACGTTGGGGAATATGGTAAATGGACGGGAGCAAACTAAGGCCAAGTTGTGACAATTTCTGCACAAATAATAATTCAATTTAGTCTTCTTAGAACTGTAAAAGTGTCTCAGTTCATAACCTGAAAAGGAAAAGCAGTGCACAAAAATAATTTTAATACAAAAGAAAAATACAGTTATTAATTTTAATAAGTAGGTAATTGCAGTATATGAATGTTTTAAGTCTTTGTTGGTAGAGAATACATAATTTCCTTTTTCTGTTTCTATAAGTAGTAAAGAATAAAAATGTAGAACTAAAAAGACTCCAGAGAGTTGATAATATATGAACAACAGTGGTAAGAAGCAGCAGTGGGCATCAAGAGGAACCACCACGTGGAGAAGTTCAGTAAATGAGTCGCACCAATATTATATACAATAGCAAAGTCAAAATAAGATCCAACAGGGTTTTTCAAAATGATATATTAGCCATACACCCCTTCAAAAGGAAGTCAGTTTAATCCAGTGAGAAAAGACATTAATTTCACATAATTTAAGTTTTTTATTATTGTATGTTTGCAATACATAGTAATTACCTTGATCTTGGGGAATTGGTACGTTATCTATTGCATTCTTCTTCCTTCCCCAGCCTCTGCCCTCTCTCTCTCTCTCTCATTCTTTTTTCCTCACATCCTCTTCTCATCTCTACAGAGGCTTAATGCTGAATAATTTAAATTTAAGAGGCACAAGTTAAACTACTTTCTTCACAAAGTACAAAACGGGACTCAGCTGATCATAACACAGGCTTAAATATCCTTGAAGCCATATGCCAGTACTCACCAAGAGCCACCTAAGTGATACAACCTATACCTTCTCACCCTGAATAAGAAATTAAGTCTGTACCATTAGCACTTTTTAAACTAGACATTATATGAATTAATTAAAACATTTGTCATTACTCTATTTGTGAATATTTTGTCTGATGCATAAGGTATTCCAAGAATTTTTTTAAAAAAAGAATACAAAGGCTGGGGATTTAGCTCAGTGGTGCCATCACCTGCCCTCACAAATGCAAGGTCATGAGTTCAATCTCCAGTACAAAAAAAAAGTAATTCAGCCTTAAATTTGTTAAGGAAATTTAATCAAATTTATAATTCGGGTATAGGTATAAAAAACACTAGTTTTCAACATTTTGCTTAATAAAAATCAGTGTAACACATCAAGTATTAAAAAAAAATTCTATACATGAGTTGTTCATATATTTGATTCCTAAAGTAAACTCAGAGGTACAACAGGCTAGTTTTTATTTGATGTCTTTTTTAAAGTTTCCGGCGATGAATAAAAGGAATTTTACTTAAAACATTAATATTTTAATATATTATAAATTATTCATAACATTTTGTCTTTAAAGATAATCTTTTTAACTGATTGTTAAAAGGGCTAGGGATATAGCTGAGTGTTCCCTGAGTTCAGCCCCCAGTACTGAAAAAAGAAAAGAAATCTTATTTCACTAGTTAGAATTTAGCAGTACTAGAATATGCTCACAGTGTTTCTGTATATGAGTAATGATAGTGTAGGTGATTTAGTGTTTCTTTTTTATATGTTGTTATAGTTACAGGTTTTTTCTAAATTCTATTTCTTGATTTTAGAATCAATAAAAAACAAATTTAGTCTAAAGACAATACATCTTCTGCAGATGTCCTTATATCTATTTTTTGTTTTGTTTTATTTAGGGGAAAATGGCCTTATTGGCCTCAAATAGTTGCTTTATTAGATGCAATGAAGCAGGTGATATAGAAGCAAAAAGTAAAACAGCAGGAGAAGAAGAAATGATAAAGGTAATCATAACATTTCTTTACAGATTGATACATGTCATCTGTGTGATATGAGTCTGTAAAACATTTGTCCTTTGCTATCACTAAGACTTACTATCTTTGTAATACTGTTCCAAATAGACTTTTACTTTTAATTACAGATTCCATAATTGATGGTTTATTTGTATGTTTTAAATGACTGCATCTCTGAGCACTTTATTATTTCAATTTGTTAGTATCTTTTTCTGAGAAGTTCCATGTACTTTTTAGACCTATATTTTCTTTTTTGCTCCTCCTGCATTTAAAAAATAGATATGTTCACATAACACAAAAACTTTAAAGCATTTAAAGACATACATTTCTTATCTACTTTGTTCACCTTTCTCCATTTATCCTGTCTCCCCATCCCTGCTTCTCCCTTTTTTATAACCTAAAATTTTATTCATAAATACATGAATATGTTTGTAATTTTCTATCTTGAATTTTTTTTCTTAATATTGTATTGTGGAAATCTTTTACTTCTCATTATATGTAGGAAGTTCTCTTTTTCCTGCCCTTTCCCCATCATCCTCTCCTTTCCATTTCGTTTTCTCTTTTTAATAGCTACTTAGTAATCCATTTTAGGAACATACTTTATTTAAATCAATCTCTTACATATGGAAATTGGGATGTTTTCAGCCTTTTTTTTTTTTTTGAGCCTTTTATTCTTAGAAACAGTGCTATAGCACTTAACTTTAACTATGCATCATTTTGTTTAAAATATATCCAAAGATACATTCTCAGAAGCATAACAGGGTCACGAGTCTGTGCATCTAGAATTATGTTAGATATCCTAAGGTCTCTTCCATTGAGGTTATACAAAATTATGTTTACACTGACATATATAAGGTTAGTAGGTTGTTTTGTTTACTACCTGACCACTGTAATGCTAGGCTTACAGGAAACATGAGAGTCACAGTAAAATTTACATGGCTTTAGCACTCAAATATTTGTTGGTCTTTATGAATAACTACATTTCTTTTTTACATGAAGAGAAACATGAAGCACAGGGAAAAAAAATTAGTCGCTAAGCTGGAAATTAAACTTCCTTATTCTGGGTGAAGTTTCCTTATCCACTTTATTTTACTTGATTGTGAAAGTTACACAGACATCTTCATGTTAAGGTGACCTTCTAAATAAAATCACACGATAGCTTAGATAAATCAGGTGGTTAGCTGAAATATGATGTTGCCCCTTGAGGCTTTTTTTTTCAACTTACAAAATCCACTAGATCCTTACTGACAGTACACTAAAGTGTGTCTAATGAATAACTATCACATTCTTGTTGCATTACCTTTTTACTCTTGGCATTCCATTCCAGTCCTGAGTGTTCTGAAGCTGCCATAATTTCTGTTGGAATCATAGGTTGCAACTAGTCTCATCCTGATTTGCTGTGTTCAATGCATTGGGAAGGGCTACAGTCAAAGACTCTTAGAGGTGGGGGTTGAGGAGGTGCCTATTCTAAAATACTTTTAATTCTTTGCTGTCTTATGTGTTGAGTAAAATGGTTTTATTTCAAGTATTTTTTTAATTGTTACAAAGCATAAAAAATATACATTTTCTCTACTACCAGCTTTATTTATAAGTACCTACCAAATTTCTATATATGCTTTGTTAAATTCCTTGTCATATATTTGCTTTTATTCTCAAGATATTCTTTGCATAGTAATTTTATATTTTAGTATGTTTTTCCTTGAAAAATATTGCTGATATTTACGAGCAAGACTGATAGTTACATTAACTCTATTTGACCTGTTACTTTTGGCTGATGGAAAAATGCCTCCCTAGAATATAGAATAGCAACTAGAAAATTTATTGCATTTCTTATAGTTCTACAAAAGGCCTTTTGACTGTTAGAACAAATTTAACCTAAGACTTAGGTATTTTTCAGTAACATAAATATAAATATAAACCAAGTAATTGAACACTCTGCTGAATTTGGTACATGCTTTGTTGCCTTTCATCTTCATAGCAGTCTTATGAAGTAGCTATTATCTTAACTTTACAGAAAAGGAAATAGCCTTCAGTCCTAATATTACCTTTCACTTCATGAAAGTCACACAACTAAATATGGAAAGACAATGCATTCACAGGCTCAGCTGACTGACTCCAGAAGCTACTTCTGCCTCCTGTAACACACTGCTTCATAGAGATAGCCTGTTAGGAGAATGGTGATGGATTTCTCATTTACCTGTATTTAGTTTTTATTTATATTCAGTTTTATTGTATCATGCTAACCTTTTATCTGCACTTTAGTATAAAGCTATTGAAGACAATACAAATATTTGTGTAGTGCTGTGTATTACATAAAGATGTTATTGCATTAATTATAAAGTAGTTCTCAAATGAAGTACCATGCAATTTCCATAGGTCTCATTGATTAGTCAAGCACAGTACCTGCAAGCTCTGAGCAATGATTATCCAGGACTCTAAAACAATTTTTTTAGTGTGTCTGGCACAAGGGCTGTTTTTAAAAAAAGCATAAAAGGGCAGTTACTTATATCAATTATATACATGAAATATCAGACACATCCAGAGTAAGTGGGAGAAGAAGATAAATGTATCACCTGTTGGGTTCTCATCTTAAATATCTAGATTAGATCCTGTGCTGAAAGGGAAACGAAGAAAAAAGATGACATTCCAGAAGAAGACAAAGGGAATGTAAAACAGTGTGAAATCAACTACGTGTATGTATTCTCCTTTTAAACTCACAGATCTACGGTAGACACTTTTACACTAAAATACCTGAAGGACAAGAAGGGGCCGCCTACTGTAGATTGTAGGACACAGCATTCATTTGAATGCTTTTCTTAAGGCGTCTGTTTTCCTTTTATCCTGCTGGCTCTCAAAGCTGAAATCCTTTGTTACTCAGTACTTCCTGTTCCCCCCCACCATTTTTTTTTTAACTGGAGATTGAACCCAGGGCCGTCACACTGAGCTACATCCCCCACCCTTTTTGTTTTTTATTTTTAGACAGGGTCTTGCTATTTTGCCTAAACTTGCAGTCCTCCTGCCTCAGCTTTCCAAAGTGCTAGGATTATAGCTGTGTACCACCACACCTGGCTTCCTCATCCTTAGGAGAATTGCTTAATCCTGCCCAGGTTCCATTCATGTTCAGAACATGGGCCTCCAGCCCATATTCATTGGTAGAAATGAGCTTTGCAGAGCTGTCCAAACAATATCCTTCGTGATGGTAGATCCTAAATGTCACCTTTGTAGTTGAAAAGTTATTAAAGAAATACAATTTGATATTTTAAAATAAATGGGGAAAAATTTTAATAGTATTGAGATTTTTTTCAACAAAGCTATTTTCTTTACAGAAAAAAATTTCAGAGTTTCCAGGACCATAAACTTAAAATCAGTAAAGAAGACAGTAAAATTCTTAAAAAAGCTCGGAAAGATGGGTTTTTACATGAGACACTTCTGGACAGGTAAATACAAATTTACAGTTTTCCAACAGTTTCAGGTAGCCAAGAGGTACATGGATAAACCCATGTTCTTTTTAAAGTACTATAATTTTAAAATTTTGTTTTTATTTCTAATTTATATATGTAGCAAAATTACCAGGAGAGAACATTAATAAGTCTGAGAAAAGATTGCCAAAAAAGAATATCTAAAATTTAGAACCATTGTCTTAAATACTTCTATACTTTATTGTAAGAAATTAGGGTTTGGGTGAAAGAATTTTTATAAACTTATTTTTATAACCTTTTTTTTTTTTTTTTTTGCTTTTTGAGACACGGTCTCACTGCATTGTTCAAGCTGGCCTTAAACTCAATATGTAGCCCAGGCTGGCCTTGAACTTGTGGAAATCCACCCTATGCCTCCCAAGTGCTGAGATTATAGGCATGTACCACCATGCCTAGCTGTTTTTACAACTATAAGTTGTTTGAATAATATCAAAATTCTGTGGATTCTATTAGAGTTCTAAAAATTAGATAAATTTGTAAAATGGCCAAATTTTAAAAGTTTAATAAATGCCGAGCATGGTGATGCATCCCTGTAATCCCAGTACTTGGGAGGCTAAGGCAGGAAGATCACTGAGAATTGGAGGCTAGCCTGAAACTTTGCAGTGAGTTCAAGGCCAGCCTGACTACATAGCGAGAACCTGTCTCCAAAAAAAAAATTAAATTAGTGAAACTGAATCAGTTTGATTAAATTAGATTCACAAATGTGCAGGAATATTTATCATGTTCATTTCTATTCTCTTTAATATCTAGGTCAGTGGTGACGAACCTGTAGCATTCATGCCACAGCAGGCTGTGTCATTGAAAGCTTAAAAGGTTCTCAAGCACTGTCCTAAGTTAATAATTTATAAATACCCAGAGGCTTTGCTGTGTGCTTACATCTATACATCATGGAAGTGCCAGATGAAGAGAGTTCCTTTCTGCTACTTATTCATATCCTGTGTTGCGAAATTACTCTTAACCTTCCTTTACATAATCAGATAAAGACATACTTAGTCATATTATTCCTGAACTAGTTGATGGAGTTCCTACTGGAAATCAGTAAATAATGTAAGAATTTTTTCCAGTTGAGTAAATTAGTATATAATCTAATGAGAAAAAAGAGGATATAAAATACAATCAGGACATGAACTCTAAAATAGAATAAGCTGTTTGTCCTATAATTTTAGCATTGTAAAAATACAGCATTTCTACTGACTAGCAATTTAGGGTAGACTTAAATTCATAAGGAATTAATTTTAAATTGCTAATGTGAATTGAAAAAGCCTTGGGCAATATTTGTAAATATTAGGGAAAATTTTTTTCATAAGACTATAATCCATTTTGTATAAAAAGAAAGTTGAAAAGTAAAAATGTAATTATAGTGGCAATATTACAAAAATTGAACACAGTTTCTAAGTATGAGTTTTATATTTACTAGCAGTTAACTATATATATGCTGTGTCTCACATTGATTACTTTTTTTGTCTTAAACAGGAGAGCCAAGTTGAAAGCTGATAGATACTGCAAATGACTGGGACTTTTCTTTGTTTCTGCTTACTCTTTTTGTTTTCTCTGAATAAAATATGCAGTGATAGTGCTTTTATAGAGTTCTTGGGGTGTTGTGGAATTATTGCTTAATATCCAGCTTCATCAAGATGAATAATGTTTAAGATTCTTCATGCGTGTACTTTTTAGTTAAGGGAAGTATTTCATATGGAAATGAAACTTACAGTTCTCATGTAAAATACTGCATAATTTTTTTTCTGAATTTCCTGTCATGGAGCATTAAGTATTACTCTAAAAAACTTTTCCCATGCTACTTGTGGAATGTTATCTTGATTTATTATCTGTGTACTTCATATGTATACTTAATCAGTACCTATACCATAATTCCAGTGAATGTTCCAAATCCAGGTTGTATATAAAATGCCTGAATTCCATGGGAAATTCTGATTCAAAATTGAAGTTGACATCTGTTTTTAAAAGTCTATGATGGGGCTGGGGATTTAGCTCAGTGGTTCTGCTTCCTGCCTCACAAGCGCAAGGGCCCAAGTTCGATCCCTGGTACCAAAAAAGAAAAATATGATGAACCTTATGCACAAAGAGTTATTTAGACCTGACCTAACCTGCCAGACCCTGTCTAGTGCTAGCTGTCACCAAATGTAGTTAAATGGCCCAAAGCAAAGTAGCTAGGTTACTAGTGTCCATTTTATATAGCAGTTCTTGGAAGTCTGTAAGTTTCTGTTCTAATAGTCGACATTCCTCTGTGTTACATTTTCCTTCTGTTTCTGATCTTTGGATTGGGACGATGCTTACTCCTAAAATCTCCCAAAGCAGCAGTTCTTATTCTTAATCTGGGCCTATTTTCCCCCATAGGTTATTTCATTGTCTGGAAATGTTTGTTTAAAGCACTACTGGAATCCAGATAAATTAATGCATCTGACTTATAACCCTAGTAACTTATACAAAATAAGATATAAAAGTGCTAACCCAAGAGAAAATGCTCATATTTCTCAGATTAGTTCATTTCAGTCATTCCATCTTCAAGTTCACTGACACACACACCATCTCTGTTAAAAATACATGACAGTTTTCTTTAAAGTTGTGTATTGTATTTTAGCATTTTTAGATTTCCACTGGATCATCTGGGTTAATTTGGAGTTGCTTTTCACTGATTGCTTTGAGTATGTTTATTCATGTATTATAATTGGACTATATCCTGAACCTGATAAAAACTGTAGATCTTCTTCCTCTGAAAAATTGTGATTTTTTTGTTCGGTAGGCAGTTAACACGGTTGAACTCAAGCTCCAAAGTCAGTCTCCTTGCAGTGTGCAGCAGATGAAGTCTCTAGTCAGTTCTTGTGGTTTTCGCTGGGCCCTTGAAGTAAGCAAAAGAGGGTCAGACTTAAAGGTCACTATGAGAATTGGGCAATGTGGCTTCCTTCTGGTGGCTCTCTCCTTGAGAATTTCCTCCTCAAGTTCCAGATTCTTTGGTCACTCTGAATTTGGTCCTCTAATTCCTCAGCTAGTCAGACGTGGGTTTGTACATAATTTCATGACTCAGTGGCACTGTGTGGGGTTTGCCCTAAGATTTTAAAAATAACAGTTCCCTCTTAACAGAGTTAATGTCCCTGTACTGTCAGACTGCTTTGGACCGCTTTCCATTAGCTTTTTTTTTTTTTTTTTTTTTTTTTTT